CAGAGTGAGAGTCTAACTCAAAAAAAAAAAAAAAATGAGAGAAGACAGCCTGAGGACCAGGCCGGAGTGAGGTGGCCCCTCCCCCAGCTTGCCTTGGAGGGGCTGCTGGACCAGCTCCCTGACCCCAGGGTGGGGGGATGCCCTGCACAGTCCCCGGAAGGGGCACTGCCCAGGTCAAAACCACAGGGTGCATGGAGGGCTTCCGGGTGCCAGGGCCAGTGAGAGGGAAGGGGTTCTGGGTGGGAGGGGACCTGGACGGGGTGGGCGTCGTAACTCACAAGCGCACGGTGGAGGCTGCCAGGAAGGCCAGGAGCAGCAGGCCGGCCAGCGAAGAGAGGACGGAGGTGACAACGATCATGCCGCCACTTCGCCGCCCTGGCCACGTGTCAATGGAGCCTGGGGACTTCCCTGCAAACACAGCAGCTGCTTGGACGCTGCCCCTCGGCCCAGGGCTGGCTGTCACCGTCCTTCCCCTCCCCCCTGCTCACACCTCAAGGCGTGGCTGTCCCCTGGCCCCAGACAGCCCCCTGAGCCCACCCATCGGAACGACACAGTGCCTGGGCTCGGCCAGCCTGGACCACCCGTCAATACAGCCTCGCCCTGTCGCATTTTCTAGGCTGTCCCCACCCGCTGTCCCACACGGGGCAGGCAGAGTAGCTGCCAGACCTTGGGACTGACCCGTCCACTGCTGTGCCCCCGGGAGCCTGGCAGTCAAGGCCTTTAGGCGGCAAGTCCCCCAGTCCACGCCCCCTTCCTTCTGCAGCCGTCCCCAGGTGTCCGCGCTCGGGCCTGGTCACATTGTTTCCTGGGCCTGGTGACTCGAGGTCTGCCCAGAAAAGCTGGGCAGGCTTTGGATACCGTCTCCAGGTCTCTGACCCTGTGGCAGCAGGAGCGGCCCAGCCGAGCATGACCTCGTCGCAGAGGGCGACAAGGGGTCCCAGAGAGGTGGGTGAGCTCACAGGGGACAGACAGAAGCCAGAGTGCCCCTTCCCCCTCAGCGGTACCTTGGTGGAGAGTGATGGGGTCCGACCACTTGGTCTCCGCCTTGGATGAGCCTCTAGCGTCCATCA